AAGAGCGTCACTTCTTTAAGTAAATAGATCCATGAGAAGATGCGTCCACTAAACTAATGTAATATGAGAGATTGTTAGCGGATTGCATAGGAGAAGGGCTGCACAAATCACTGTACATTAGTTCTAAAGAAGTATGATAAACAGTTTGTGAGATAGGACCATGTACGCGATGAGATTTAGCCACTCAACATGCAAAACAAAATGTATTACCACTTTTATTAGAATGAAATATATTACAGAAGTACAAGTTTGAGTGTAAGATCATTAGGATGTCCTAGCCTAACATGCCACAATGTACTAGAACTAGATGATATACTGGTAGAATAAACAAAATTTGAAACTAAACAGGTTGCATCACTGGTAGAAGAATGTAACAACATTCTTGGAAATTGATACAAGCCTTCAAAACCAACTTGACCGCAAATCAAGACCTCATTGGATGCTTGAGATTTGACAAGACAAAAGTCGACATGAAACTCAAAAAAGACATAATTATCTTGCAAATTTACTGACACTTATCAAATTCTTTGTTATAAAAGGAACGTGAAGTAATTGATTGAGATGAATAGAGATATGAGGATTAAAAGGTGAAGAAAATTTAGATGAACCGGAAAAGTGTATAGTCAAACCTTGACCGGTTCCAGCAAAAATCTTATTAGGCCCTTCAAATGGACCAAGTTGTTGTATATTTCGTGAGTCACTCATTACATGGAATGAAGCCCTAGAGTTTGGATACCATATATGTTACCAAAACTAGGAGTAGTATTCATGACCATAGCACTACGTTGCTACTGAACTTGAGGCATTGTTTGAGTGTGAGATCTATTCCAAGTGTTCGAAGCAAAGTTGTTCTGGTTTTGTGTATTGCTAAAGTTTTGACTGAATGGCTAAGAAGTATATCCTCGAGGAAAATTGAAATTTTGAAATCCCTGAAAATACAAAGACATAGGTTGATACATTTGATCGTATCTATGGAAGTAATGAGCAGTAATGTGACCAACATTAAAGCAAACTTGAGATTGAGTATTGAAGTAACAGCCACCGTGACCTTGACCACGGCCACCACAGCCACTGCAACCACTGCAACCACGACTATAGCCAAAACCCATATGACGAGGACCTTGACCTTTATTTTCAACTTCAGAACCCTGTGTAAAAGAACTTGTGCGAAGGTTGGGTTCAATTGATTTTGTGTTCTGGTACTTCCAAGTGATGCTTCAATGAGATTAATAGTGGCAGAATCAGAAACAAGATTCTTGTGAAACTTCTCGAGACACATTTCGTGTGCAAGGAGAAGTGCTTCAACTTCTTCGATCGAAAGCGAATCAAACTTACTTTCAATCACTAAGATTATTGAGTTGTAATCTTGAGGTAATCCTTCAAGAATCACATCAACATGCTCTTGAAGAGAAATTGGATCTCCAACAGATGCTAGAAAGTTAGCAAGAGCTTTAATCAACAGAAGAAATTTTGATACCAATTTATTATCTAGGGTTGTGGATCGCAATTCCGTGCATAATTGATGAGACATCACACAAGTTTGATAAGAATGCACGCTTCCATGAACTCGCGATAAGATTAGACTTGAAAGCAACGATTGGAGCCACGATAGAAGCATATGATCTTGTTGTTCCCAAGTATAATATGTAGGATTCATAATTCTTGCATCGCGATCTGATTCACTAGCAAATCACAGGGGAATATTTTCACAAACAAGAAAATGTTGAAGCCTATGCACCTTGATCACTAGTTCTACTTGTTGGCATCATAAAAGGAAGTTCTTATCATCAATTTTCTCAAAGATTGTATGAGAACGTTATCGGATTAGAGGAAGGGGATGGAGGAAGTTGATTAACTTGGTTGGATCATTCAAGCTTTGGATACCATGTTAAAGTAGAGAGAAAAAGAATAAAATCTGAGAAAATGATCTTTATTGATTCACTGAATATTTTTGTTACACCTTATGTATACATAGGGATGTTATTATAGTTAACAAACTATCCTAAAAGAATACTGACTCAGCTGATAGCAAATAACAATAAGCCAACCCATCTGGTTACAAGTAACAGAAAATTAACCCAAGAGATCAGTTATTTTAGCTGATCTCTATACAATACTCACACATGGATTTTACACTGATTCATTATATATATGTGTGTCTATGGCTATGTTACTGATGTGAGTGACTATCCGATTATATCTCACACCGGTAGTTAGATTGAGATGTTTCTCACTCCCCCTTGATACGTGCTTCTACGTATGTTTTGCAAGTGATGATCATCTAGAGGATGATGTCAATGACTTAGGCCTTGTAATATAATGATAGATTGAGTTATGATAGAATGTGATATCGAGATTCGTAGTTTAGGAATTAATGTTCTCTTTGGCTATTGTTATGTTTAAGATTCATATTAGTTCTTTTGGTTTTGAAATGACCTTTTGTTAGTCATTTGATTTCCTTTGATATTTCATTAGTACTTGTGTCATGTTTTGGACAGATATGACTTCTATCCTTTGAAGTTTCGTGAAATGATTTTCATCTTAATCAAAGTTTATTTCAAACCTTTTGGAAATTCTTTATTATTTCTTTTATTATTGTGTATGTTAGTATGTGAGATAGAGGGTGTCACATTTAATACTTGTCAATTTCTACACATTTGCAAAGGTAGATAGACTATATATTTTTTTTTTACAAGCACCAAAATCCAGAAATTGACCCTTTCATTTATCCTTGAAACTGGTGTCAAAAGTGAAACAATTAACTTCTTTATGCACAAATCTTACAGCTGAGGATACTCTTTGTGCTGCTAACTCAATATTCTAAAATTCATTTAGCATTATCATGTTCCCAGTTACATAAGTCTTGTCTGGATTTCTACTTTCATAATTGCAATTAGAAAAACTCTCAAAACCAGCATTTTTATAAATAAAAGTATACTTCAACAAGTTGCCATAATATATACTAGTTTTGCTTTTGTTCAAACATTTCTCCAAAAACTTCATAAGCTTTGGTACCTGCCGCTAAACAAAAAATATATAACCAGGAGAAATGCTTACAACTTTGCTTCTTGTTCAGTCTTATACTTGCTGATACTCAAAATAGTCACATTTGATAACTTTCTCTTCTTTAACCACAAATCAAAATTCTCGTATACCTTGAAATTTGCTAGATCTTGTGAACACCATAACCTGAATCCTCTGATTTCAAATCCTCTTTCCAATTCTCAAATTCAGCTCCACCAAACATTACTTGCTTGATCCCAACAAAACTATCAAAAACAAAACAAATAAAAAATCATGGTATTAAAACAAAATATCCAAGTGTAAAACTTTTTATCTAAATCTTAACATTCTCTCTCTCTCTTCAGAGAGAGATTGACATGCACCAATCAAAATGGTAATCGACTACTTTTATTTTCTACTATTGCTCATGCAAAAAATCAAGGAACTGTTCATTCCTAAATAGCTTTGGTCGGTGACTAACTTTAATGGAGTACTTTTTTGTACATAAATGAACCAAAGTAATTAGTCAATTGAAGAAAGAAAGTGGAGATCATACTCGGAACTTATCTGTGTCAATGCATTTATCAAAACATCCAGAAGAAGAGGTTCAACAGTTCCAATATCCACCCTATTATACCACAAGAACAAATTGGTATTTGCAATTCACCTTACATCAGTGTGTATAAAAAAGCATTGACAAGGAATATGAAATTGTAGCTTCACCATATTCGAGCCAAGTTTTCTTGAACCTCGAGATCCCCAATGTTGTAAAATGTACTTGGTTCTACATTTGCTCCCTGAATGTAATCATAACTGGGTTTTGCTTCCATTGGAGACTGTGACAACTGTAAGAACAATGCTAGTTCTATAAGCTACAATGTCATTTTTGAAAATTCACAAAAAATGTGAATAAATAAAGGGAAAAGGAGAAAGAAATTTTGGTATCCATAGTAGAAGAGGAAACTTACTTGCATATTCATGGAATTGCATCCACCAAGACGACCTATAATGTGCCATGCTCGAATTGTCTGCAAGGACTCAAATTCAACACTATTTCTGACTAAAAGTACATGTGCACAATGCACCATGGAGAAAGTACAACAAAATAGTCATAGAGCAAAGTTCCTTACATCACAAATTAAGGAGACATCCTTTGCCAGTAGAATGTTGTAAAATTCAAACCATATATATGAGTTTGAAAAATCAAATCTGGAAATACAAGCATTAGGTGTAAGACAAACAAAAGTAATTTTTTGATTAAAAAAGAAAAGAAAAATATTTAATTTTTGTATCATGTGCATTCCAACTCTGCAGAAAAAAAAGAAAAAAAAAAGATTGTTATCAAATGAAACATAGACAGTCCACTTTGGGGAACCTAAGAATAGTTGATGCCAAGCATTGCTAACAGTATTGAGGCCCAGTGGCCCACATTCCACGTCTCCATGTGCAACAAAAGTACAAAACTCGATGCTCAGACCCAAAAACCAACCACATCACAAACTCAGAAGTATTCATTATAGCATCAAATCAAAATGTTCAAATAAGCAACTAGCTTAACCAATGGCTTCAGACCAGAAACTTGTGACCAATAACTCTTATTATCTATTTAAAAATTAACTATACATGATCAAAATTCTTTCAACATAGAACTAAAACAGTAAAACCCCATCTTCCTTAAATTATAACACCAACTAAAATTTTAGTCAGATCTTCATCAATATTTAACCATACAAATTCACCACAATTTAATTAATAGGCTTAGCTAAATACTTCTCTTAAGAGTTTGGCACACAATTCTTTAGCTAAGGCACGTCAAAACAGAATTTACAGTTCAGTACTTTACTGTGTTAAATTCAGCAGAAACTCCATCCCAGTTCCTTTTCCTCTTCAAATAAGAGAGATTACTTACTACACCAGTAAATTCTAGCTCACATGCTGAGTATAAATTTAAGCATCATAAATTATAATAAGAAACATGCAACTACACAAGCATAAACAATGGAAAACTGCATGGTACAATCACAAATTTATGCACGATTGAACTTACTTGTTAAATGACACAGTCATTGGTTTTCCCGATCCAGTCTTAGTGTGCAGTATTTTGTTCCTCTTCTTTCTTAGTCTTTCTTCCAACTGCAAATATATCAAGCAAGCTCATTTGATTTAAATATAGATAATATCCCTTGGTACCACAATGCAAAATAGCTCAAAGTTGCTACTCTTTAATTTTCAACAACTTGAAATGTAACAAACATCATGCTTAGAAACAATATAACCCCCCACCCGACCACAAGAAGATGGAGTCTACAACTCAATGCAAAAGTTATCAAATGATTAACACAATGATGCTTACTTTGGACTGCGATGCCTGGGGGTCCTCTAGAAAACCCCCGAGAATGTTACCGAATTCTGGATCTCTATCATAATCCTTCTCTGGCCTACCTGTATATGGTCCTCGACTTGAATATCCACCATCATTATCTTCATATTCTTGTACTTCTTCATCAATGTCCTTTGCTTCCCTTCTTGTACTCATTCCTCCAGCCAAAACCCCACCATCCTCATCATCCACAAGCTCCTGATCCTTGTTGATGATATCTATACTAAAGTCTTGACCATTCAAATCATCCCGTAGACTACTAGCACTACATAAGAATGTCTTAGTTCTGGCATTTTTCTTGACTAGTCGCAGAACTATTGAAGATGGTACAAAGTGATTGTCATGGGAAAAAGGTTTGGAGCATGTAATTGTAGTGCAAGAAGGAAGGGATGCAAAAGGGTGTAAGACAATCATGGATTGTATATAAATTTACAAGGGAAGAGTCTATTATTGTCTGTCAGTTTAAAGGTAAGTTTGGCCTTGAACCTCTATTAACCTGCAACAAAAGGTTACCAGAAATCAATATATAACAAATTGCAAGTACTCCTAATTTCCCAAGCTCAATATAACCACGAATAAATTTTCAATTTGGACCTCTATTAGTCGGCCCCATGATATTACCGGAAATGAATATATAACAAAAATTCCAAGTAATCCCAATTTTCCTAGCTCGGTATAACATAACCAAAAATAAAATTACAATCTTAATGGTTAATGCTTGGTCCATTAGAATTAAATCAACCCAAATCACAAAATTCTCAACTTCGTATCAATCCAACAAGCAAAATAAAAACAACCACATGTACCCAAAATAAAAACAAAAATAACCACCAACAAAGTTGTGAAATTTGAAATAAAAAGAAACAAGAGAGAGACTGTTCCAGAATCTATTGAAGAACTATGCTATCAATAGCCTAATACAACCTCATCTTGCATAATATATGCCCCACAATCAGAAAATGACATGATGAAGAAACAGAAAGAGAATGGTCGTGAAAAATGCAAGGATTTTGAGGAAAAAGGTGAAAGATAAGGGAAGGGAAAAAGAAAACGAAAGGGTTATTTTCCAGTGAAGTTAAGTGCATAATGAAAAGATTAGTACTCACCCAAGTTGGTAGGTCTTAGTTCTTACACACTCAGTGATGAGTGCAGAAGCAAGGTGGTGCCAACTACCCCGGGGGGAAGAACATAGAAATTTTGATTTTGTAAGAGACAGAAAAAGGTCTATCTAGCTAAGAAACGAAAATACTAAAAATAACATTAAAATTTATTTTGAATTTTAATCTATATTATTTTATCGATTAATTTCTATATTCACCTAAAGTGAAGTTAACTCTGATATTAAAATGTGAAACTTGCATTAACTCATACTCTTACTCTCTTTTATTTGTTAGAAACACTCATTTTCTTTTAGATAACATCAAAAACGAAACCTAATAAATTATTGAATTTATTAAAAATGACAAAATCATGAGTGGGAGCTCATTAAATAAAGACTGGACCATATACAAATGTGATTTATAATAAATTTCAAAAATGTGTTAGAAAATATATTGTTTTAATTTCTCTTAGTGAATAAGCCAGTGACCTTTGTTTTTATCCAAACATACAGAAAAGTGACAAATTAAGACACTCTCCCTACATCACCCCAAAACATTAGTATCACATGATAGAATACTTAGAGCCACAATTTTCACTTTCTACTACTATTTTTATGGTAAAAGTTGAGGCTTTAATTCAGTTGGTTAAGTTCATAATTTTAAAAAAAATTCCTATCTAAATAAAAAAAATAGAAAATTTTATGCATAAAGTCAAATTTAATACTTAAAACTAAGAAAAAATAGATATATTTCATGAGTGTCTCACCCATTACACCTTGTCAACCACCCAATGTAATTTGAAAATTTTCAAACTCAATCAAACTTTAGTATTCATAGTCAAGATTTTCATCTCCAATGTTCTAAAAACTATACCAGTAAACATGTTATTTATAGTTCATTAGTTTAACCAGAATTAGACCAAAGTTAAATCATAAAAAAAATCCAGCTTCCATATGTAGATCTCATTCTTTTTAATTTGATTTGAATTTAGTCAGCTAAAGGTTAAAGCTTATAAAGAAATAAATTTTATACTCACCAGCAGACAGAAACAGAGGGATCAAAAGCACCTGATGCACCAGAAATGAGCTCATAGTTAGCTTACTTTCATTCTCCTTTTCAATTGGATATATATAAAGATACCTTGCCAATTAGCATCAAGTAATGAATAAAAGTGTCATCTTATGAGTAATAAATAGTCAAAAACTGAAGCCATATAAGTTTAAATAAAGGAATGCATATTGACATATCAAACCAGACAATAAAGGATCAAACCAATAAATATAGCGAATTAGCACTAGACCCAAATGAACATCTAAACACCACACTGAACCCATAAGTTGAGTCTTTACGTGACAACTTAAGTTTAGAAGAGAATTAGTTTTTTTATTTATTTAATATCAATGTTTTCTCTCTAAGTTCTTGTGATTTCATGGTTTTTCGTCTGTCTAGGTTGTGGCTACCCAAGCAATTGGTGGAGCGCATGGCTCTTGTGGAGTGGTGCTGGGAGTTTCCATCCAAACTGCCTCCTTCCTGAAGAATCTCTGTTATATTATATGGCTCAGCCTCATAAATAAAAACCATTAAATTTATAATATTTCTTATTTTTATTATATATATAAATATATATATATATATATATATATATATATATACAATATCATGCATATGTTACATGACCATGGTTTGTATTGCCTACCAAACAGCCCACAAAAGTTTTGAGGAAGCTATAGCTAATATTATAGTATCCAGATTTACAGGGCAACTTAAAGGTTGGTGGGATCATTATCTCACTGAAGCACAAAAATTAGGAATCTTTTCAGCTGTCAAAATTGATGACAATGGCAAACCAATCTTCCATCACAGAGAGACCATTCCAGGTGCTGTGAATACCTTAGTTTTCACCATAGCCCAACATTTTATAGGAGATCCGTCATTATGGAAAGATAGATCTACCGAACTTTTGTCCAACCTCAAGTGTAAAACCTTAGGAGACTTCAAGTGGTATAAGGATACTTTCCTCACTAGAGTTTTTACCAGAGAAGATAGTCAACAGTCTTTTTGGAAAGAAAAATTTTTAACCGGTCTTCCTAGATCTTTAGGCGACAAAGTTAGGGATAAAATTAGGGCTTTAACACCTGATAATATTATCCCCTATGACCATCTGAGTTATGGTCAATTAATTTCTTTTGTTCAAAAAATAGCTTTAGAAATCTGCCAAAATGATAAGATTCAAAGGCAATTAGCAAGAGAAAAGAACCAAAATAGGAAAGACTTAGGCACCTTTTGTGAACAATTTGGTTTACCTGGGTGTTCTAAAAAGAAAACCAGGAAAACTTTTAGGCATGACCAACTTAGCAATACTCATTACAAACATTAACGAAGTTTTAGGAATCCAAAAAGGGAACCCAAAGGAGAAACCAAACACCCACCGGGAAAAAAATCAATAGTGTTACAACTGCAGAAAACCTGGTCATATCAACAAGTACTGTAGACTCAAAAGGAAAATTAGCAACCTCAATCTAGAACCTGAATTAGAAGAACAAATTAACAGTCTTTTAGTCGAAACTTCTGAAGAAGATTCACTGGATGACTATTCTGGTGAAGATATTCATAATGTTCAGCAAGATGATGAAGTCTCATCATCTGATAATAGTGATACACCAAACATAAATGTTCTAACAAAAGAACAAGATCTTTTGTTTGAAACAATCAGTTCTATTCCTGACCCGGAGGAACAGAGTTTTTTTGAATAAACTCAAACAGACTTTGAAAAAAAACCCTAGGAATTTGGTCATAACCAATAAGTATGACTTAAATCCTATCCTCAAAAGGTTAGAAAAAAACTTTGACCAAACCAGTTACTATCCAAGATCTTCAAACTGAGGTCAACAATCTTAAAAGTGAAATTAGGAGTATTAAGGAACAACAGGTCCTTCATCAAAGTATTCTTTCCCAATTACAAGATCATTCTGACAAAGAAGACCCTCCATCTGAGCACGATTTAGAGAATAATGAAGTCGATTAGAGTGGTTTCTTATGTCTTATAAACTGTCTAACCATTCAAAAATTCTTCATCAATATTAAGATTATTGTTGAAGATTTTGTCCTGGAAACCATAGCCCGTTTTGACACTAGAGCAGACTCCAATTGCATCCTAGAAGGTCTTATTCCAACCAAATATTTCGAAAAAACCTCTGAAAAACTTAGCACTGCTAATGGATCCAAACTACAGATTAAGTACAAACTTTCCAAAGCCACAATAGAAAACCAAGGTCAACAAATTGAAACCTCCTTTTTAGTGGTCAAGGACCTTAGGAACGAGGTCATCCTATGGACTCCTTTTATTAGGGCTTTATTTCCCTTAAAAATAACTGATGAAGGTATATCTACTCAAAAGGGTGATAAATCTATTATGTTTAGATTTATTAAGAAACCCATTAATAAGACTATCAACCTTATAGAACAAAATCCAACCAGATTAACTATCTGAAAGAAGAGATTTCCTTTAAGTCTATTCAACAACAGCTTGATCAAACCCATATCCAAAACAAGATCAAAGATCTTTTGCTTACAATCCAAAACTCTGTTTGTTCTGACATTCCTCATGCTTTTTTGGAATAGGAAACAACACATTGTTAATCTTCCTTATGAAAAAGATTTCAAGGAAAATCAAATTCCAACCAAAGCTAGACCAATCCAAATGAATGAACAACTTCTCCATTATTTCCAAAAGGAGATAAAAGATCTCTTAAGCAAAAACCTCATCCGACCTAAGCAAAAGCCCATGGTCTTGTGCAACCTTTTATGTCAATAAACAAGCCGAGCTTGAGAGGGGAACTCCGAGATTAGTTATAAACTATAAACCTCTCAATCAATCCCTTTGATGGATTAGATATCCTATTCCTAACAAAAAAGATCTTCTTAATCGTCTTTACTTGGAAAAAATCTTTTCAAAATTTGATATGAAATCTGGCTATTGGCAGATCCAAATTCAAGAAGAAGAACGGTATAAAACAGCCTTTACTGTTCCTTTTGGGCAATACAAATGGAACGTAATGCCCTTTGGCTTAAAAAATGCTCCCTCAGAACTTCAGAAAATTATGAATGACATTTTCAATCCCTATACTAGCTTTGCCATTGTATATATTGATAATGTCTTAATCTTTTCACAATCTATAGACCAACACTTCAAACATGTTAACATTTTTGTCAAAATTATCAGACAAAATGGTTTAGCTGTGTCAAGCTCAAAAATAAGTCTCTTATAGACTAAGATCCGATTCCTTGGCCATATCATCCATCAGGGGAAAATCACACCTATTAGCAGATCCATTGAATTTGCTGATAAATTCCCCAACCAAATTATCGAAAACAACTCAGCTTCAAAGATCTTTGGGTTGTTTAAATTATGTAGCAGACTTTATTCCCAATTTAAACAATATTATCAAACCCCTGCATGATTGTTTAAGGAAAAATCCTCCCTCTTGGAGTGATAATCATACCACTTCTGTCAAACATGTTAAGCAATTGGTTAAAAACCTTCCTTGTCTCTCTTTACCTATTCCCCAAGCTTTCAAAATCAATGAAACTGATGCTTCTGACCTTGGATATGGGGGTATCCTCAAGCAAAAATTAGGATATAAAGAGCTTGTCGTGGCTTATACTTCCAAACATTGGAACCCTACACAACAGAATTATTCAACTGTTAAAAAAGAAGTTTTAGCAATTGTTCTTTGTGTTTCAAAATTTTAATCTCACATTTTAAATCAAAATTTTTTAATTATGGTTGACTGCAAATCAGCCAAAGAAATTTTGCAAAAAGATGACAAGAACCTTGCATCAAAACAATTTTTTGCTAGATGGCAAGCAATTTTAAGTGTTTTTTATTTTGACATTGAGTATCTCAAAGGCACCTCAAATTCTCTCCCTGATTATCTTACTCGTGAATACTTATAGAGGACATCGTCTCATGCCTAAGAAAGCAATACTAGCCTCAACCAGAGGCAGAGGCAGAGGTAATCGTTTGGCCTTAACAAGGCCAACCCAATTTGCGGAGTCATCTACTCCATCAAACAAAACCCTTGAATTAATTGAGTCATTGACTCAACCCCAACCAAGTCAAATGGTTGAGTCATCTACTCAACAAACCCA